TTTATACCACCTTTCTGTGTTTCCTGTCTAGAGAAGATCCTTTAGTATTTGTTGAAGAGCTGGTTTGGTGGTGGTGAATTCTCTCAGCTTTTGCTTGTCTGTAAAGCTTTTGAGTTCTCCTTCATATCTGAATGAGATCCGTGTCATCTTTTTCAGTCTCCTTGCCTTTCTCAGGCTTGGCAGACTGCTCACCATCGGCCTTTACCGTGTATTTCTCTGAGGTAGGCTGGGCATTTTCCAACTCAGGCCAAGCAGCCATGGTTGGCGCTCTCTCTGCAGGTAATGGACCGGAGCAGGCACCAAACTTAAGCATTTAAAAACCGAAAGTGTCCTTAGAGGTAATAAGTTAGAATAAAGTTTTCTTCCAAATGGAAGTACAAATATAAGAAGTTACATGAATGGTTTATACCTAACGAACTTACCATCATCACTTCTGGTATACTTCAAGCAATTCATTAAGGCATTGCATTCAGTCATAAGCAAAGCATTTTTCTGATATAAATCATATTGCAAAGTATATCTGACAAATATCTACATAAAAGGAACTGTGAAAATACCATGAAGAATACATAAAGAAAACAACAAGGTCCTACTATATATAGCACAGGGACCTATTAATATATTCAATATCATATGATAAAATCATAATGGAAAAGAATATTCTAAAAAAGAATGTATATATATGTGAATCACTATGCTGTATGGCAGAAATTAACACAATGCTGCAAATCAACTATACTTCAACAAAAAGTATTGATTAAATGGGGAAAAAAAAGAATTCATAAAGGATAAGACAGAGTAAACTTAAAACAGAATCTAATTGAGTAGAAAAGTCATCTCTAAGGCTTATAAAGAGCAGAGTTAAGTGTACTTCACTATAATTCTTATATTTCTTTAAATTTTATGTCAATAAAATCAACTTCTTTGTCCACTTATAACCTATACAAATTGAAAAATTTTAAAAATGTATTACCTGAATTGTATGTTCACTAAATGAGGCTGGGAGCCATCTGATTGCCAGTAAGTTTCTAGATTGTCATCTCGTAACTGATCCACTCCAAATCCTAAAATCACAAGTGACAATGAATTCTCATGAAAAAAAGAAGAGCCATATATTCAAAACATAAAACTACTATATATATTTGTCCAGCAAGTTTGATAAAGAGGATGGTGAGTACTGTGAAATTTAAATTAACCAAAGTTCTCCCATCTTCTTAACCAACCCTCAATTCTTAGAAGTATAGAAAATAAATAAACAGAAATCTCAATTAAACAGAGTTGGGAGACCAGACGGGGAGTTCTGATACCCTGTGACCGTAACAGAACCAAAACGAAGACAGACTCCTCTCCTTTCCTGGCAAGGACTCAGTCAGTGAAAAGCCATGGGCTTTTTGTTTATTAAAGCTCTCCCACTTCTTTTTCCTCCCTACAAAAGGGTGCTACTTCCCTTCATTGTGGGAACCGCACATGGTTTACTGTGGTTGCAGACCCTGAATTGCAAACTTCTGCTGGTCCTAAGCAAACCCATCTTTGCTGGAGAAATACATGGCAGAATACTTATGTCAGAACAAATATTCTGAAATATTTTTTCTGAGAAGTGGCTAAAAGGTTCAGGACTGGTGAGCAAACAGGTGCAATGCCCACAGTGAACCCACTCACTGTTTTCTCCATGACCCTGGAGTATGAAAGTAAGTCTTTCTCTTGGATTCTGAGCACATGCCCTATTTGCATTTGAAGCTCTCCAGGCTTTATTCGGGATCTATCTTAAGGTTTCATCTCTTTAGTTACGGTTTAATCTCTTTGGTTAAGGCTTCATCTCTTCAGTTAAGGCTTTGTTTTGTATACAAGTATTCATTTGGCAGGTCACTCTAATTTTGAGATCAGAATGTTTCAACCAAAGCTGGCTGAAAATACCTTTGACCCATTCATTTGGGAACAAGGGGCTGTTTCCCTGAAACTGTTCCAGTTTTCTTCATCCTACTCCTTTGGAAAGGGCTCTCCTCTGGAAACTGGCTTAAAAAAAACGTCTTTGGCCTGCCTCCTCCAAACCAAGTTGTCTCCTTCAAACTGGCTGGAATTAGCCTGCAAGTTGTTTGAATTGAGCTGTCTGTGCTGTAAGCTGTTTGGAAATTGTTCTTTTACTCCAGAGAAAATCTTCAGAGAAATGAGATCCTAGTTATCTAAACATTTTGAGTGTGCCCGCCCCCTAGGACGACTCCAGATGATTTTATGTTTAAAAGCCGAAGTCCTTCCTCAGGCACATTTCTAACTAAATGGACCAACCTGACCAAAGGCAATTTAGAATATCAATGGCTATTACAGAGAACTTTTGAAATTCCTAATTTAAGTTCCTTAGAGCTGAATTGGACTACAATAGCTCAAAAATTTCCAGAACTGAGTGTAATGCTTATTTTGATTGAATTTTGAGGCTCTGCAACATTATCAAATTTTAAGATGAACTGAGGCAAACAAATGATTAAAGAAAGATAAAATGGCTGCTGAAGCCTCAGGCTCTTCTTCCCTGGCTGGTCGGAGGTGCCGCACCATCTTATCACCCTCCCGCAGCTTCTGTGGCCAGACTCCACCTCTGTTCCATCTTCCTCTTTCTCTTCTGTGCTGACGACACCTCCTCTGTTCCTTTAATTCCCCCACGCTAATTCTCTCGCCAACCTTCCCCTTGTCTTTTAAACTCTGCCAACTCCCTTTTCTTTAGAATTCATCAGAATGTTCCTCTTTAAGCCTCCTAAGGATCTAGAGGCTAAACCCTTAACTTCTTTTTTGGGGGGTAAAGAAGTATGTCTTCTCTTTATTTTGTTAAAATTTATTTTAATTGGAGGCTAATTACTTTACAATATTGTGGTGGTTTTTGCCATACATGGACATGAATCAGCCATGGGTGTACATGTGTCCCCCATCCCGAACCCCCCCTCCCACCTCCCTCCTCATCCCATCCCTCAGCATCATCCCAGTGCTCCGGCTCTCAGCACCCTGCCTCATGCATCGAACCTGGACTGGCAATCTATTTCACATATGGTAATATACATTAAACCCTTAATTTCTTATATTCCCCGGACCAAAACTGAACTGCAACCCATACTCAAAAATGATCCCAAAGTAATTGAAGATTCTTACATACTCGCTAAGGAATTTAATACAGTCATTAAAACTTACCAACATGGTTTCTCTGAGTCCTATCAACTAGTTCATAGATAATTGGTGAAGGCCAGGGCCAGCACTGAATGAAAACCACTAATTGGGAAAATCCTGAAAGGTCTCTAGAATTCCAACTGGGAGACCATCCTGCCAACTTATTATGTGACCAGCCTCAAGCAACCGACAGACAGCTTCATTGAGCAGTTCCTGGGGCTTTTCCAAAGCCTGTTGATTGGAACAAAACTCAGACTTGCATACAAAAATCTGATGAACCTGCTTATATTATTATAACCAACTTCTAATTGTTTCTGAAGAAAATCCTGGCCTTCCATCTGAATGCTGATCCCACTCAGGTCACCTCTACTTGTTTATTAATGGGCTGATTCTTTCCCCCTTAGAATGGGGAACTGTGTTCACTCCAGATACAGTTAATCTGGTGAGCTAGCTCTCTTGCATTTTACGAGAGTCATCTCAAAGGAAGACTGCCTAAATTCTTAATTTTCAATTCTAGCAAATGAAGGCTCCTAAACAGAACCAAAATCCTCTTAGCTTCTGCTACTCTTACAAAGAGTTACGACACTGGAAAAAAAGACTATTCCAAATTTAAGCACTTTAGGTGCTTTCCGCCCTCTAATCAGCCTTTCCAGTGTCCTCCCAATTTTCAGTGATAGGGTCTAAGGAGCTACAGGGACTCTTCTCAATCCTCTCAGTTAGTCCAGAGAAACGTTTCTCCAGAATGGGAAGGAATCTCTTCCAGTCCTGACCGTGGAGCCACTCTCTATACCCCACTACTATAAAACAGCCCCTGTCCCTGAGAACTAATAATACAGTGCAAGTAGTGGGGATCTCTGGTCACCCTCAGGAGGTTCCTATCTCTGAACTTCTCCCTTCTGTCTAGGCCCTTTGAAGAGTTAAGACTTTTTTTTCCCTCAGTTCTTCCACCACTATTCATTCATTAGGGGCCGAGACTTCTTAGCGAGTTATCATGCCAGAATTTCTTTCTTCCAAAAGGGAAAAATTATTAGAAACTGACAGCAGTCATCAAAATAACAAACTAGATGAATTAAATGACCCTTTGACATCTTTCGTTTGCTCCATCTCTGATGGTACTAGAGCAGATTTCAGAAACACTGATCATTTTGTCCCTATTAAATCAACTACTACCCTGACCAGTTCCAAATCAGAAAAGGAGTACGTCAAGGCTGTATGTTGTCACCCTGCTTATTTAACTTATATGCAGAGTACATGATGAGAAATGCTGGGCTGGAGGAAGCACAAGGTGGAATCAAGATTGCCAGGAGAAATATCAATAACCTCAGATATGCAGGTGACACCACCCCAAGGCAGAAAGTAAAGAGGAACTAAACAGCCTCTTGATGAAAGTGAAAGAGGAGAGTGAAAAAGTTGGCTTAAAGCTCAACATTCAGAAAACTAAGATCATGGCATCCAGTCCCATCACTTCATGGCAGATAGATGGGGAACAGTGGCTGACTTTATTTTTCTGGGCTCCAAAATCACTGCAGATGGTGACTGCAGCCATGAAATTAGACACTTACTCTTTGGAAGGAAAGTTATGACCTACCTAGACAGCATATTAAAAAGCAGAGACATTACTTTGCCAACAAAGGTCAAGGCTATAGTTTTTCCAGTGGTCATGTATGGATGTGAGAGTTGGACCATAAAGAAACCTGAGCACAGAAGAATTGATGCTTTTGAACTGTGGTGTTGGAGAAGACTTTTGAGAGTCCCTTGGACTGCTAGGGGATCCAACCAGTCCATCCTAAAGGAGATCAGTCCTGGGTGTTCATTGGAAGGACTGATGTTGAAGCTGAAGCTCCAATACTTTGGCCACCTGATTCGCAAAGCTGACTCACTGGAAAGGACCCTGATGCTGGGAAAGATTGAGGGCAGGAGGAGAAGGGGAAGACAGAGGATGCAATGGATGGCATCACCGACTCGATGGACATGGGATTGGGTAGACTCCGGGAGTTGGTGGACAGGGAGGCCTGGAGTGCTGCAGTTTCATGGGATCGCAAAGAGTCAGACACAACTGAGCTGAGCTGAACTGAACTGAACTGAACCCTCCTTAGGGGCAAAATCTTCAACTGATACTGACAAAATTCGCAGCACATCTCCCATCAAGATTCAAACAACTCCTCAAAACCTCTTCCTAGAATTAATCAATACCTTATAAGTAAAAACCTCCTTCAAGGCATAAAGCCAATACTATAAGATTACAAGGTTCAAGGCCTCATTATCCCTGTACTACCCCCATTTTACCGGTAGAGGTTTGTCCAGGACCTACCAGCAATAAGCAACACTGTTATTTATCCCTGGACACCTTGCTGTTTCTAATCTTCATATGTTACCAACAGCCATTCCTCAGGAATAAATTCTTTACCTGTAACTGATTTATTCAGTGTATTCTTTAGTACTCCAGTTGATGAAGTGAGCCAATACCTTTTTGCCTTCAGTTGGGAAGAAATACAAGTCAACTAGATAATAAAGCCTCAAGATTTTACTGAGGGTTCTTCTTTTTTTCTCACAAATCCCAAAGGCTGGTCTGGATGACATAAAATTCCCTGGGGGTTCTGTCTGCTTTGTTGCAACATGTGAATGATTTGCTTCTTTGCTCTCCTTCTCAAGATTTCTCACAGGAAAACAGCCACCACTTAAAGCTCTCAGCCTTACACCCTGTGGCAGAGGGATACTCCCCGCTTGCCTTAGAGCCATTACAGCCACTGCCCTTTTGGTTAATGTCACCAAAACAATCATTGTGGAATCCCCTTTCATGCCTGATGCAGTAGAAGCTCTCCTGAATTCTCATATTCAACATTTCTCAATCAGCTGCCTCACTCCTAAAAAGTCCTTTGCACACTGTTCCTCACACAACTCTCTTACACTGTAAAAG